CTCGAGTGTGTGCTTCTCTGCTCACTAGTGGGTGAGCGGGTGGTGTAATGAATAGCGGCTCGGAATGAGAATTCGGAAAGTCAAGCTCGAATTCCAGTAGGGTTCATTGCAAATACCCTTTAGAAAGATATGCATCTAACCCTGGACCAGTTATTGCTTTTGTAGTAGAACCTGTAGCTTGAAAAATCATTGCTAATGCAATATTCAAACACTAAAACAATATTCTTACAATTCAAAATATATTTTGGTTTAAATAATGCACAGATCTGATAAACCGTAACCCCCCCGACCAAAAAAAAAAAAAATCAAGCCAATCAATCAATGAATCGGATTCCATTGGCAAGAAGGGAGTTCCGTACAGACGGCTTCTTCCTGAGATCAACTACTTTATGAAACAGACTCCCGTGAGAATACTTTCCTAATTACTACAACTTTAATCTCTTCAAGTCTAGAGTCAACGGTTATCTATTTTATATAGCCACATAACCCGCACTTATTTTCTCTTCTTACTTTCATACAACAACCTCAGTCAATATTCCTGTCCTGAGTGGCTCTTGAGCCTTGTAAGATTCTTCTCATGAAAATAAAGCGGGCTTCTGCACTGTTCGTATCAGTGTGCACAACTCTTTCATTTACTATTTGTTTTACTAAGCGTAGCTTACATGTGGCACAAGGCCGTCTGTACAGGGCACCCAATGTGGATGAAAGTCGTAATTGAACTAGTTAGATAATCTTGCTAACCATTACACCACGTCAAAGTGCCCGTAATTTTATCTTTATTTTAGCGTTTCTTTTCTTTTTTATAATCTCGTGTCACCAGAAGGGCACAATACTATAAACGTTTCACTTGGAGACATTTAAATTACAAAGTCGTATAACGATTTAAATAATGTAGCTAAGTTTATTCAACTGGTGATTCTTAAACTGAACGCTTACTCGCGAATATATTTAACAGCGAATTTATTGGCTTCCGTGAGCTTGCTAATAACAATTTCAACTCTATTTAAACAAACATAGCGGCTACTACCAGAAGACTTCTTCTGGTATTGCAATCATAGCTAATGGTCAGGAAATAGAAAGATATTTGTTTTTGTTTCAAGCAATTTAGTCACCAAATTTATTCAAGCTTAAACACATTTCCTTGCACACAGGCAAATTTGCATGTTCACGTTACCTACAGAAATAGTTAAACGTTTACATTAAATGTTGCACTTAAACTGATATGAAGTGGAAATTCTGTATTGAATCCATTGCAAGGCCAGCTGCTAAGAAAGTCGGTTCACTGTGTGAGACAATTTTTCTCAGAAAATATCTTACATATCTGAAAGTCTACCATTTGTCCATGCTCAGTTTATTACTGCCACATATAAGACGGTACCTCTGCTATTTACCTTGAGCTCCTTAATAAAATGCAAAGAAAAATCAGCAATATTATTAGTCCTGATATGGCGACTCGGCTTCAATCACTTACCCACCGCCGTGAGATTGCCTCTCTGTGCTTTTTCTATAAATATTTTCATGGTATTTGTTCGGAAGAGCTCTTAGCTATGGTACCTAAACTTTATGAATTTAAGCGAAGTACTAGACTGGAGTCGAGATTTCCTCAAGTTATAGTTGAGCTGGCTAGATGGAACCGTAAATTCTATGCTAACAGTTTCTTTTCTCGCACTTCTCACTTGTGGAACACTCTCCCGGCTCCATGCTTTCCAGCCAACTTTAATCAGCAAAAATTTGAATGCAATGTTAATTGCTATCTACTGTCCTTCTGATCACTCTCTTCATTTTTCTGCTCATCATTATTATTTCTGTTCCTAATTCTTCCAACCTTGTAAGCCCCCCCCCCTTGTGTTTAGCGGCATTATATGTCTTGCTTGGGGTGATACCGAGTAAAAATAAAAGTTCTCTTTGTTTTTGTGTTTTTACAATAGTGTTTATGGAGGCACGGTGGATTACGGCTCGGAGTGAGAAATTGAAGAGCCGAGTTCGAATTTCAGTTGAGTTCATTACATTCATTTACGTTCTAATACCCTTGGGAAAGGTATGAATCCATCTTTTCTCCCCTCCTAGATATGGGTAAATAGCAGGACAGGTTTGGTTGAATTCAGTTTTTCCTTCTCCTAGAGCGGTTGCCACACAAGGCTAAAAGAAAAGCTGAATTCAAAACCTGTAACTAAATAGTAGAACAAAATGGGTTCTTTAGCCATGGTAGGCAACCGGACTAAGAGATGAACAACTCTGAATTCAAATCGGGAGCTGAAGTCCCTAAGACAGTCATGCTCGATTTCGTTCTGGCAACATCTGAGATTCCGCCGGTGCCAAGCTGTATTGGCCTCTGCCTTCCCCTTGTATAACATCGGTGGCGGGGAGACGTGCTGCATGGGTAACTGTCAATCTCTCATAAAAAAAAACAAAACAAAACAAAAACTTGCCCTGGTCTGCGTCCTGGAAAGGGCACAACTCTTCGGGTATAGACCCATGGTCACCCGAGACCGACGGATGTCACAATATACAGTGATATTCCCCCTGTAAAAGTACCTCGAGGTAGGGGTTTAGGAAGAGAACAAGAGGCACAATTTATGGGGGTACGTGGGCAAGATAACAGTTGACTCGATCTTTTAATAGGTGAAAATTGAAGTAATTGGGGATGCATCCTATTAGGAGTCGGTTTCACTAAGCAGCAGTCCGTATGAAGAAGCTACTTAAGTGGAACTTACATCTCACCAATGGAATATGGAGGGAATGAGGGTGATTCACTACAATGGGTGTGGCATGGCGGGTCTTAGCTGCGACGGTTAGAACTTCTGGAACTAAGGAATGAAGTTCGACTGAACACTTTCTATGGAAATAGCGATAGGCTACCGAGAGGCTTAAGATATTTCGTCTGTGAGAAAGGTGGAAAATAATTTGTCACCCACAAGGACACCGTAGACGCTTTTGAACTCTATCGAGACTGTGCAGCTCCTACCCACATAAGACAACATCTGGGTCTTGTATTTGAAAACTTTTGCAGAGAGTGTAAGGTCCTTGTTCCAGATTAGGAACACAGAACCACACACTAAAGAATAAGTGACGAAATTCCAAAGCGAAATAACCAGGTTTGGTCATAAGTTTTTTCTCTTTTTTTTTTCAATAATGCTAATAATAGAATCCTTCCTTTACTAACATAGTACACATAAAAATGAGAGAATTATTTGCTGACAGCTAAAAACTTTTGCCTCGGATCAGGGTAGATTTTCAAGGCCCAAGAGCCACACGAGATAGAGGGTTACAGATTAAGAGGCATTTTTATGCGGATATGTGAAGATTGTAGTGATCACTGAAGCATCCTTTTAGGAGTCGGTTCCACAAGGCAGCGGTTCTTGAGAAGAAGTTGCTCAAGAGAAACTAACATGTCATCAATGGAAAACGAAAAGAAGGAAGGTGGTTCGCTACAATGTGCGTAGCATGGCGAGTCTTAAACCGTGAATATTAGAACTGGTGGCACTATGGAAATAGTAATGGAGTAGCGATTCGTATGTGAGAAAGGGGTTGTAGAGTGGAAAATTATTCATCCCCCACAAGGCCGCGGAGCCGCTTTTGAATTTTGTCGAGACTGGAAAGTGAAGACTGGGCAGCTACTGTCCGCATATGACAGCAGTAGTTCATTTTCAGCCTGATCTGGCTTTTGTAATGGCAGAGAGTAAGAGTCGGGTATCTACTGGACCGGTATAGGGAACCATTTTCTCCACCATCTTTAGCGATGGATTGAGTACCAAATTCACCGGAGAGAACACCCATTCTTCGTTTGTTTTGTTCAAATATTCAAATGTAATGTCAATCGACATCTTCTGATGCCTTGCTCTTGATCCTCGTACTTCGCTTTATCCTTTTCTCAAGTGGCTCCCAGTTCTCTTTTAATACACAGATTGCTGTTCAAATATAAAGAATCTATTCAGGCCTGATATTTAACCCATAGCTGGAGCTGGAGCTGGATGGAGAGAAGAATTCATGCCTTTCACAAAGTGAACGGAATAAGCTAAGCTATAACTTGAACTCGGATCGCTGATTCCATTTTCAACAGCGATAACCGTTAGGCAAACAAACATTAAATTTGAAAAGTAGGTAATAAAATATTGTTATAGAGAATATTTTTTATGGCTTATCAACCCCGTCGAGAAACGAAGCATGTTTCGGATTGCAGGAGGCTGCTTACAGTGATCGCTGTCCCCATGGGCACGTCAACGGATGAATAAAATAAAAAAAAAGCACAAAAAGAAAGAACAGAAGAATGATTGTGAAGCGCCATTTTCAGCGGAGGACTGAGAGATTATCATTGTTTTAAATAGGGTATTTAAGCAATAAATTTGGTTTGATTTGTTCTTTTTTACGGTTTATCAACCCTTTTTTGCATTATTTAAAACCGAAACATATTTCGGATTGTAAGAGATTGCTTAAAAAAGAAAGAACGGAAGAGTGAAAGAAGAAAGAATAAAAGAAAACAGAAAAGAAGGAAAGAGTGAATTTGGTTTGATTTGTTCTTTTGTAGGGTTTAACAACAGTTTGTATGTTATTTAAAACTGAAATATATTTCGGACTGTTGCTTACAGTACCTGGTGTTCCTAAGCATCCCACATCCAACGAAATAATCAAAGTAAGCAGAAAAGAAAGAACAATAGAACTGAAGAAAGAAAGAAAGAAAGAAAGAAAGAAAGAAAGAAATGAGAAAAAATAAAAGAAAGCATAAGAGAAAAAGAAAGAATGAAAGAAAGAACGAAAAAATAAAAGAAGACATGAGAAAAAGTAAAATAAGCCATAAGAGAAAAAGAAAGAATGAAAGAAAGAAGGAAAAATAAAAGAAGCCATAAGAGAAAAAGAAAGAATAAAAGAAAGAACGAAAAAGTAAAAGAAGCTTAAGAGAAAAAAAAGAAAGAATGAAAGAAAGAACGAAAAATGAAAAAGAAAGAATGAGAGAAAAAAAAAGAAACAAGAATGAAAAAGAAAGAACGAAAAAGTAAAAGAAACTATAAGAGAAAAAGAAAGAAATGAAAGAAAGAACGAAAAAGTAAAAGAAACCATAAGAGAAAAAGAAAGAAATAAAGAAAGAACGAAAAAAAGTAAAAGAAACCATAAGAGAAAAAAGAAAGAATGAAAGAAAGAACGAAAAGTAAAAGAAAAAATGAGAGAAAAAAGAAAGAATAAAAAGAAAAGAACGAAAAAGCAAAAGAAGCCATAAGAAAAAAGAAAAAGAATAAAAATGAAAGAACGAAAAGTAAAAAAAGCCATAAGAGAAAAAAGAAAGAATAAAGAAAGAAAAAAAGAAAAAGAAGCGAAAAAAAAAGAAAAAATAAAAGAAAAAAAAGCAAAGAAAAAAAAAGAATAAAAAAACGAAAAGCCATAAGAGAAAAAAGAAAAAAGAATGAAAGAAAGAACGAAAAAGTAAAAAAAAACCATAAGAGAAAAGAAAGAATAAAAGAAAGAAAAAAAAGTAAAAGAAGCCATAAAGAAAAAAAAGAAAGAAAAAAGAAAGAACGAAAAAGTAAAAGAAACCATAAGAGAAAAAGAAAGAATGAAAAAGAAAGAACGAAAAAAAGTAAAAAAGAAGCCATAAGAGAAAAAGAAAGAATAAAAGAAAGAAAGAAAAAGAAAAGAAAAAGAAAAAAGAAAGAAAAAGAAAGAACGAAAAGTAAAAAAGCTATGAAAAAAAGAAAAATGAAAGAAAGAAACGAAAAGTAAAAGAAGCCATAAGAGAAAAAGAAAGAATGAAAGAAAGAACGAAAAAGTAAAAGAAGCCATGAGAGAAAAAAAGAAAGAATGAAAGAAAGAACGAAAAAAGTAAAAGAAAAGCCATGAGAGAGAAAAAGAAAGAATGAAAGAAAGAACGAAAAGTAAAAGAAGCCATAAGAGAAAAAAAAAGAAAAAAGAAAGAATGAAAAAAAAAAAACGAAAAAAGAAAGAAATAAAAAGAAAGAAATGAAAAAAGTAAAAGAAGCCATAAGAGAAAAAAAAAAGAAAGAAAGAAAGAACGAAAAGTAAAAGAAGCTATAAGAGAAAAAAGAAAGAATAAAAAAGAAAGAAAAAAAGAAAAGAAGCGAAAAAAAAAAGAAAGAATGAAAGAAAGAAACGAAAAGTAAAAGAAGCCATAAGAGAAAAAGAAAGAATAAAAGAAAGAAAGAAAAGCAAAAGAAGCTAAAGAAAAAAATAAAAGAAAAATAAAAAGAAAGAAAAAAAGAAAAAAAACCAAAGAGAAAAAAAGAAAGAATGAAAGAAAGAACGAAAAAGTAAAAGAAGCCATAAGAGAAAAAGAAAGAATAAAAGAAAGAACGAAAAAGCAAAAGAAGCCATAAGAAAAAAAGAAAGAATAAAGGAAAGAACGAAAAAGTAAAAGAAACCATAAGAGAAAAAGAAAGAATAAAAGAAAGAACGAAAAAGTAAAAGAAAGCCGAAAGAGAAAAAAGAAAGAATAAAAAGAAAGAATGAAAGAAAAGAACGAAAAAGTAAAAGAAGCCATAAGAGAAAAAAAGAAAGAATGAAAGAAAGAACGAAAAAAAAAAAAGAAGCCATAAGAGAAAAAGAAAGAATGAAAAAGAAAGAACGAAAAAGTAAAAAGAAGCCATGAGAGAAAAAAAGAAAGAATAAAAAGAAAGAACGAAAAAAAGTAAAAAAGAAGCCATAAGAGAAAAAAGAAAGAATGAAAGAAAGAACGAAAAAAGTAAAAAGAAGCTTATAAGAGAAAAAAGAAAGAATGAAAGAAAGAACGAAAAAGTAAAAGAAGCCATGAGAGAAAAAGAAAGAATAAAAGAAAGAACGAAAAAGTAAAAGAAGCCATGAGAGAAAAAGAAAGAATAAAAGAAAGAACGAAAAAGTAAAAGAAGCCATAAGAGAAAAAGAAAGAATGAAAGAAAGAACGAAAAAGTAAAAGAAGCCATGAGAGAAAAAGAAAGAATGAAAGAAAGAACGAAAAAGTAAAAGAAGCCATGAGAGAAAAAGAAAGAATAAGAAAAAAGAAAGAATGAAAGAAAAAGTAAAAAAGAAAAAGAAGCCATAAGAGAAAAAAGAAAGAATGAAAGAAAGAAAAGAAAAAAGTAAAAAAAAAAGCCATAAGAGAAAAGAAAAAGAATGAAAAGAAAGAACGAAAAGTAAAAGAAGCCATAAGAGAAAAAGAAAGAATGAAAGAAAGAACGAAAAAAAAGTAAAAAAAAAAAGAAGCCAAAAAGAGAAAAAAAAAGAAAGAAGAAAAAAAGAAAGAATAAAAGAAAAAACGAAAAGTAAAAGTAAAAGAAGAAAAAGAGAGAAAAGAAAGAATGAAAAAGAAAGAACGAAAAGTAAAAAAGAAGCCAAGAAAGAGAAAAAAAGAAAAGAATGAAAGAAAAAGAACGAAAAAAGAAAAAAAGAAGCCAATAAGAGAAAAAGAAAGAATGAAAGAAAGAACGAAAAGTAAAAGAAGAAGCCAAAAGAGAAAAAAGAAAGAATGAAAGAAAGAAAGCCATGAGGAGAAAAAAGAAAAAAAAAAGAAAGAGAAAAAAAAAGAAAGAATGAAAGAAAGAAAGAAAAGAAAAGAAAAAGCAAAAAGAAACCATAAGAGAAAAAGAAAGAATGAAAGAAAGAACGAAAAAAGTAAAAGAAAAAAAAAAAAGAAAGAAATGAAAAGAAAGAAACGAAAAAGTAAAAGAAGCTATGAGAGAAAAAGAAAGAATAAAAAGAAAGAAACGAAAAAAGTAAAAGAAGCCAAGAGAAAAAAGAAAGAATGAAAGAAAGAACGAAAAAAAAAGAAGCTATAAGAGAAAAAAAGAAAAGAATGAAAGAAAGAACGAAAAGTAAAAGAAGCCAAGAGAAAAAAAAGAATAAAAGAAAAAGAAAAAAAAGAAAGAAAGAGAAAAAGAAAGAATGAAAAGAAAGAACGAAAAGTAAAAGAAGAGAGAGAAAAAAGAAAGAATGAAAAGAAAGAAAAAAGTAAAAGAAGAGAACGAAAAGCAAAGAGAAAAAAGAAAGAATGAAAGAAAGAACGAAAAAAGTAAAAGAAGCTATAAGAGAAAAGAAAGAATGAAAGAAAGAACGAAAAGTAAAAGAAGCCATAAGAGAAAAAGAAAAATGAAAAGAAAGAAAAAAAAAAAAAAGAAGCTATAGAGAAAAGAAAGAATGAAAGAAAGAACGAAAAGTAAAAGAAGCTATAAGAAAAAAAGAAAGAATAAAAGAAAGAACGAAAAGTAAAAGAAACCATAAGAGAAAAAAAAGAAAGAAAGAAAGAAAGAAAGAAAAAAAAAGAGAAAAGAAAAGAATGAGAAAAAAAAAAAGAAAGAATAAAGAAAAAGAAAGAAAAAAGAAAGAACGAAAAAGTAAAAAGAAGCCATGAGAAGAAAAAAAGAAAGAAAAGAAGGAAAAAGAAAAAGAACGAAAAAGAAAAAGAAAGAATTAAAAGAAAAAAAGAAAGAATGAAAGAAAGAACGAAAAAAGTAAAAGAAGCCAAGAAGAAGAAAAAAGAAAGAATAAAAGAAGAAAAAAGAAAAGAACGAAAAAAGAAAAAGAAAAGAACGAAAAGAGAAAAAGCTAGAAAAAAGAAAGAAAAAAAAGAAAGAAAAAAAGTAAAAGAAGCCATAAGAGAAAAAAGAAAGAATAAAAGAAAAAAAAAAAGAAAAGAAGCTAAAGAAAAAGAAAGAATAAAAGAAAGAACGAAAAGAAAAAGAAGCCAAAAAAAGAAAGAATGAAAAGAAAGAACGAAAAAGTAAAAGAAGCCATAAGAGAAAAAGAAAAAGAATGAAAGAAAAAGAACGAAAAAAAAAGAAAAAATAAGAGAAAAAAAAAAGAATGAAAGAAAGAACGAAAAAAGTAAAAGAAGCCATAAGAAAAAAAGAAAGAATGAAAGAAAGAACGAAAAAGTAAAAGAAGCCATAAGAGAAAAAAGAAAGAAAAAAGAAAACGAAAAAGTAAAAGAATAAAAAAAAAGAAAAAATAAAAGAAAGAAAAAAAAGCAAAAAGAAGCCATAAGAGAAAAAAAAAAGAATGAAAAGAAAGAACGAAAAAGTAAAAGAAGCCATGAGAGAAAAAGAAAGAATGAAAGAAAGAACGAAAAGTAAAAGAAGCCAAAGAGAAAAAGAAAGAATGAAAGAAAAAGAAAAGTAAAAGAAATCAAAAGAAAAAGAAAGAAAAAGTAAAAAAGAAAAAGCCAAAAGAAAAAAGAAAAAAAGAGAAAAAAAAAAGAATAAAAGAAAAGAACAAAAGTAAAAAGAAGCCATGAGAAAAAGAAAAAAAAGAAAGAAAGAAAAAAAAGTAAAAGAAGCCATGAGAAAAAAAGAATAAAAAAGAAATAAAAAAAGAAGCCATAAGAGAAAAAAGAATAAAATAAAAGAACGAAAAGCAAAAGAACGAAAAGAAAAAAGAAAGAATGAAAGAAAGAAAAAAGAAAGAAGCCATGAGAGAAAAAGAAAGAATGAAAAGTAGAAAGAAAAAGTAAAAGAAGCTAAGAGAAAAAAGAAAGAATAAAAGAAAGAACGAAAAAAGTAAAAGAAGCCATAAGAGAAAAAAGAAAGAATGAAAGAAAGAACGAAAAAGTAAAAGAAGCCATAAGAGAAAAAAGAAAGAATAAAAGAAAGAAAAAAAAAGTAAAAAGAAGCCATAAGAGAAAAAGAAAGAATGAAAAGAAAGAAATTTGAAAAAAAAAAAGAACCTAAAGAGAAAAAGAAAGAATGAAAAAGAAAGAAAAAAAAAAGTAAAAAGAAGCCATAAGAGAAAAAGAAAAGAAAAGAAAGAAAGAACGAAAAAGTAAAAGAAGCCATAAGAGAAAAAAGAAAGAATGAAAGAAAGAAAGAAAAAGTAAAAGAAGAAGAAAAAAGAAAGAAAAAAAAAAAGAATGAAAAAATAAAGAACGAAAAAAAGAAAAAAAAGAAAGAACGAAAAAGAAAAAGAAAAAAGAGAAAAAGAAAGAAAGAAAGAAAAAGTAAAAAGAAGCTAAGAGAAAAAGAAAGAATGAAAGAAAGAACGAAAAGTAAAAGAAGCCATAAGAGAAAAAAGAAAGAATAAAAGAAAGAACGAAAAAGTAAAAGAAGCCAAGAGAAAAAAGAGAAAAAAAAGAAAAGAAAAAAGTAAAAGAACGAAAAAAAAAAAAAAGAAGCCAGAAAGAAATGAAAAAAAAGAAAAAAGAAAAACAAAAAGAAAAAAAAGAAAAAGAAAAAAGAAAAAGAAAAAAGCCATAAAGAAAAAAAGAAAGAATGAAAAAAAAGAAAAAAAGCAAAAGAGAAAAGAAAAAAAGAAAAAAAAAAAAAGAAAGAAACGAAAAAAAGTAAAAGAAACTAAGAGAGAAAAAAGAAAGAAAAGAAAGAAAGAACGAAAAAAAGTAAAAGAAGCTTAAGAGAAAAAAGAAAAATGAAAAAAGAAAGAAAAAGAAGCGAAAAAAAAGAAAAAAAAAAAAGAAAGAAGAAAAGAAAGAATAAAAGTAAAAGAACTATAAAAAAAAAAAAATGAAAGAAAGAATAAAAGAAGAAAAGAGAAAAAGAAAGAATAAAAGAAAGAACGAAAAGTAAAAGAAGCTATAAGAGAAAAAAGAAAGAATGAAAGAAAGAACGAAAAAGTAAAAGAAGCTATAAGAGAGAAAAAGAAAGAATGAAAGAAAGAACGAAAAGTAAAAAGAAGCCATAAGAGAAAAAGAAAAGAATGAAAGAAAGAACGAAAAAGTAAAAGAAGCTACAAGAGAAAAAGAAAGAATAAAAATAAAAGAAAAGAAAAAAGTAAAAAGAAAATTGAAAAAGAGAAAAAGAAAGAATGAAAAAGAAAGAACGAAAAAGTAAAAGAAGCCATAAGAGAAAAAAAATGAAAGAAAGAAAAAAAGTAAAAAGAAGCCATGAGAGAAAAGAAAAATAAAAAAAATAAAAAAAAAGAAGAACGAAAAAAAGAATAAAAAAAAGAAAAAAAGCAAAAGAAGACAAGAGAGAAAAAGAAAGAATAAAGGAAAGAACGAAAAAGTAAAAGAAACCATAAGAGAAAAAAAGAAAGAATGAAAAGAAAGAACGAAAAGTAAAAAGAAGCTATGAGAGAAAAAGAAAGAATAAAAAGAAAGAAAAAAAGAAAAAGAAAAAGAAAAAAAGAAAGAATAAAGGAAAGAAAGAAAAAGAAAAGAAAAAAAAAAAGAAAAGAATGAAAAACGAAAAGTAAAAGAAGCTATGAGAGAAAAAAGAAAGAATGAAAGAAAGAACGAAAAAGTAAAAGAAGCCATAAGAGAAAAAAAAAAAGAATAAAAGAAAAGAAAGAAAAAAAGTAAAAGAAGCCATAAGAGAAAAAGAAAGAATGAAAGAAAGAACGAAAAAGTAAAAGAAGCCATAAGAGAAAAAGAAAGAATGAAAGAAAGAACGAAAAAGTAAAAGAAGCCATAAGAGAAAAAGAAAGAATGAAAGAAAGAACGAAAAAGTAAAAGAAGCCATAAGAGAAAAAGAAAGAATAAAAGAAAAGAACGAAAAAGTAAAAGAAACCATAAGAGAAAAAGAAAGAATGAAAGAAAGAACGAAAAAGTAAAAGAAGCTATAAGAGAAAAAAGAAAGAATAAAAAGAAAGAACGAAAAAGTAAAAAGAAGCCATGAGAGAAAAAGAAAAAGAAAGAAAAGAAAGAAAAGAAGAAAAAAAGAAAAATAAAGAAAGAACGAAAAAGTAAAAGAAGCAAGAAGAGAAAAAAGAAAGAATGAAAGAAAAGAACGAAAAGTAAAAGAAGCCATGAGAGAAAAGAAAGAAAGAAAGAAAGAAAGAAAAAAAAGTAAAAGAAGCCATGAGAGAAAAAGAAAGAATAAAAGAAAGAACGAAAAGTAAAAGAAGCCATAAGAGAAAAAAGAAAGAATGAAAGAAAGAACGAAAAAGTAAAAAGAAGCCATAAGAGAAAAAAAGAATAAAGAATAAAAGAAAAGAACGAAAAGTAAAAGAAAGCCAAAAGAAAGAGAAAAAGAAAGAATGAAATGAAAAAAAAAAAAAAGAAAAAGTAAAAGAGAAAAAAAGAAAAAGAAAGAATGAAAGAAAGAAAAAAAGAAAAAGAATGAAAGAAAAAAAGAAGAAAAAAGAAAAGAACGAAAAAGTAAAAGAAGCCATGAAGAAAAAAAGAAAGAATAAAAGAAAGAACGAAAAAGTAAAAGAAGCTAAGAGAAAAAAGAAATGAAAGAAAGAAAGAAAAAGAAAAAAAAGAAAAAGAAGAAAAAAAAAGAAAAAAAGAAAAGAAAAGAAAGAAAGAGAAAAAAGAAAAAATGAAAGAAAGAACGAAAAAGTAAAAGAAAAAAGAGAAAAAGAAAGAATGAAAAAAAGAACGAAAAGTAAAAGAAACCATGAGAGAAAAAGAAAGAATGAAAGAAAGAACGAAAAAGTAAAAAGAAGCTTATAAGAGAATAAAAGAAAGAAACGAAAAGTAAAAAGAAAGAAATGAAAGAAAGAAACGAAAAAAGAAAAGAAGCTACGAGAAAAAAGAAAGAAAGAAAGAAAGAACGAAAAGTAAAAGAAGCCATGAGAGAAAAAAGAAAGAATAAAAGAAAGAACGAAAAAGTAAAAGAAGCTATAAGAGAAAAAAAAGAAAGAATGAAAGAAAGAAACGAAAAAAGTAAAAGAAAGAACAAGAGAAAAGAAAGAATAAAAGAAAGAACGAAAAAAAGTAAAAGAAGCCATAAGAGAAAAGAAAGAATAAAAGAAAGAACGAAAAAGTAAAAAGAAGCTATAAGAGAAAAAAGAAAGAATGAAAGAAAGAACGAAAAAGTAAAAGAAGCTATAAGAGAAAAAGAAAGAATGAAAAAGAAAGAACGAAAAAGTAAAAGAAGCCATAAGAGAAAAAGAAAGAAATGAAAGAAAGAACGAAAAGTAAAAAAGAAGCTATAAGAGAAAAAGAAAGAATGAAAAAAAGAAATTTGAAAAAAGTAAAAGAAGCCAAGAAGAGAAAAAAAAGAAAGAATGAAAGAAAGAACGAAAAAGTAAAAAGAAGCCAAGAGAGAAAAAAGAAAGAATAAAAAAAAGAAAAAAAAGAAAAAGAAGCGAGAAAAAAGAAAGAATAAAAGAAAGAAGAAAAAAGTAAAAGAAGCTATAAAGAGAAAAAAAGAAAAGAATGAAAGAAAAAGAAAGAAAAAAGTAAAAGAAAAAGCTAAAGAGAAAAAAAAATGAAAGAATGAAAAGAAAAAGAACGAAAAAAGAAAGTAAAAGAAGCTATGAGAGAAAAAGAAAAGAAAGAAAAGAAAGAAAAGAAAAGTAGAAGCTATAAGAAAAAGAAAGAATGAAAAAAGAATTGAAAAAGTAAAAAGAAGCTATGAGAGAAAAAAGAAAGAATGAAAGAAAGAACGAAAAAGTAAAAGAAGCTAAAGAGAAAAAGAAAGAATGAAAAGAAAGAACGAAAAAGTAAAAAAGAAGCTAAGAGAGAAAAAAAAAAGAATGAAAGAAAGAACGAAAAAGTAAAAGAAGCTATAAGAGAAAAAAAGAAAGAATGAAAAGAAAGAACGAAAAAGTAAAAGAAAACTATAAGAGAAAAAAGAAAGAATGAAAGAAAGAACGAAAAAGTAAAAAGAAGCTAAGAGAAAAAAGAAAAGAATGAAAAAATGAAAGAACGAAAAAGTAAAAGAAAGCTATGAGAGAAAAAAAAGAAAGAATGAAAGAAAGAAACGAAAAGTAAAAGAAGCCATAAGAGAAAAAGAAAGAATGAAAAGAAAGAACGAAAAAAGTAAAAGAAGCTATAAGAGAAAAAAAAGAAAGAATGAAAGAAAGAACGAAAAAGTAAAAGAAGCCATGAGAGAAAAAGAAAAAGAATAAAAGAAAGAAACGAAAAAAGTAAAAGAAGCTAGAGAAAAAAGAAAGAATGAAAAGAAAAGAACGAAAAAAAAAAAAGAAGAAAGAAAAAAAAAGAAAAAGAAAGAAAAAAAGTAAAAGAAGCTACAAGAGAAAAAAGAAAGAATGAAAGAAAGAACGAAAAAGTAAAAGAAGCCATGAGAGAAAAAGAAAGAATAAAAGAAAGAACGAAAAAGTAAAAGAAGCCATAAGAGAAAAAAGAAAAAGAATGAAAGAAAGAACGAAAAAAGTAAAAGAAGCTAAAGAGAAAAAAAGAAAAATGAAAGAATGAAAAAAGTAAAAGAAAGAAAAAAGGAAGATGAAAGAAAGAATGAAAAAGTAAAAGAAGAAAGAGAAAAGAAAGAAAAAAGAAAGAACGAAAAGTAAAAAGAAGCTATGAGAAAAAGAAAGAATGAAAAAAAGAAAAAAAAAAGCTAAAGAGAAAAAGAAAGAATAAAAGAAAAACGAAAAGAAAAGAAGAAAGAAAAGAAACGAAAAGAAAAAAAAAGAAGCTATGAGAGAAAAAGAAAGAATGAAAGAAAAAACGAAAAGTAAAAGAAAGCTTACAAGAGAAAAGAAAGAATGAAAAAAAGAACGAAAAAGTAAAGAAGCAGAGAAAAAGAAAGAATGAAAGAAAGAAAAAAAATAAAAGAAAACATAAGAGAAAAAAAAAGAATAAAAGAAAGAACCCATAAGAGAAAAAAGAAAGAATGAAAGAAAAAAGTAAAAGAAGCTATAAGAGAAAAAAAGAAAGAAGAAAGAACGAAAAAGTAAAAGAAGCCATAAGAGAAAAAAAAAAGAATGAAAGAAAGAATGAAAAAAGTAAAAGAAGCCAAATGAGAAAAAAAAATAAAGAATGAAAGAAAGAAACGAAAAAAAGTAAAAGAAGCTAAGAGAAAAAAAAGAAAAAAAAAAAGAAAAAAAAAGAAAAGAAAAAAGAAAGAATGAAAAAGAAAGAAAAGAAAGAAGCTAAAAAAAAAAGAAAAAAGAAAGAATGAAAAGAAAGAAAAAAGAAAGAAAAAGAAAGAAAAAAAAGAAAAGAAGCTATGAGAGAAAAGAAAGAATGAAAGAAAGAACAAAAAAAGTAAAAGAAAACCATAAGAGAAAAAGAAAAGAATAAAAGAAAGAACGAAAAAGTAAAAGAAGCCAAGAGAAAAAAAGAATGAAAAAAGAAAAAATGAAAGAAGAAAGAAAAAAGAAAGAATAAAAGAAAAGAAACAAAAGAGAAAGAAGCCAAGAAAAGAAAGAAATGAAAGAAAGAACGAAAAAGTAAAAAGAAGCTATAAGAGAAAAAAGAAAGAATGAAAGAAAGAACGAAAAGTAAAAGAAGCTATAAGAGAAAAAAGAAAGAATGAAAGAAAGAACGAAAAAAGTAAAAGAAGCCATACGAGAAAAAAAGAAAGAATAAAAGAAAAGAACGAAAAAGTAAAAGAAGCCATAAGAAAAAAAGAAAGAAAAAAAGAAAGAACGAAAAGTAAAAGAAGAAAAAGAAAAGAAAGAATAAAAAAAGAAAAAAGAAAAAAAAAAGAAAAGAATGAAAAAAGAAAAAAAAAAAAGAAGCTATGAGAGAAAAAAAAAAGAATGAAAGAAAGAACGAAAAAGTAAAAGAAGCTATGAGAGAAAAAAGAAAGAATAAAAAAAAGAAAAAGTAAAAGAAGTAAAAAAAAAGAATAAAAGAAAGAACGAAAAGAAAAAAAAGCCATAAGAGAAAAAGAAAGAATAAAGAAAAGAACGAAAAGTAAAAGAAGCCATAAGAGAAAAAAGAAAAAAGAACGAAAGAAAGAAAAAAGAGTAAAAGAAGCTGAAAAAAGAAAAAAAAAGAAAGAATGAAAAAAAAAAACGAAAAAAGTAAAAGAAGCTATAAGAGAAAAAAAGAAAGAATGAAAAAAGAACGAAAAAGTAAAAGAAGCCATAAGAGAAAAAGAAAGAATAAAAGAAAGAACGAAAAAGTAAAAGAAGCTAAGAAGAGAAAAAAAATGAAAGAAAGAATGAAAAGTAAAAGAAGCTATGAGAGAAAAAAGAAAGAATGAAAGAAGAACGAAAAAGTAAAAGAAGATAAGAGAAAAAGAAAGAATGAAAGAAAGAACGAAAAAGTAAAAGAAGCTATAAGAGAAAAGAAAGAAAAAAGAAAAAGAAAGAAAAAAGAGAAAAGAAAGAATGAGAGAAAAAAAAGAAAGAATAAAAGAAAAGAAAAAAAGTAAAAGAAGCCATAAGAGAAAAAGAAAGAATAAAAGAAAGAACGAAAAAGTAAAAGAAGCCATAAGAGAAAAAGAAAGAATGAAAGAAAGAACGAAAAAAAGTAAAAAGAAGCTATGAGAGAAAAAAGAAAGAATGAAAGAAAGAAATGAAAAAGTAAAAGAAGCTAAGAAAAAGAAAGAATGAAAAAAAGAACGAAAAGTAAAAGAAGCCAAGAGAAAAAAGAAAGAATGAAAAAAAAAAAAAGTAAAAGAAGCCAAAGAGAAAAAGAATGAAAGAAAGAACGAAAAGTAAAAGAAAGCTAAGAGAAAAAAAAAGAAAAAGAAAGAACGAAAAGAAAAAGAAATAAGAGAAAAAAAAGAATAAAAGAAAGAACGAAAAAGTAAAAGAAGCCATGAGAGAAAAAGAAAGAAAAAAAGAAAGAACGAAAAAGTAAAAGAAACGAGAAAAGAAAGAATGAAAGAAAGAACGAAAAGAAAAGAAGCTAAAGAGAAAAAAGAAAGAATAAAAGAAAAGAAAAAAGTAAAAGAAGCCATGAGAGAAAAAAAAAGAATGAAAGAAAAAAGAAAAAAAGAATAAAAGAAAAACGAAAAAAAAAAGAAAGAAAAAAGAAAGAAAAAGAAAGAAAAAAGTAAAAGAAGCTATGAAAAAAGAAAGAATAAAAGAAAGAACGAAAAAGTAAAAGAAAAACCATAAGAGAAAAAGAAAGAATAAAAGAAAGAACGAAAAGTAAAAGAAGCCATAAGAAAAAAAGAAAGAATGAAAGAAAGAAAATGAAAAAGAAAAAAGAAAGAATAAAAAAGAGAAAAAGAAAAGAAACTGAAAGAAAAAGAAAAAAGTAAAAGAAGCAAAAAAAAGAAGCCATGAGAGAAAAAAAGAAAGAAGCTATAAGAAAAAAGAAAGAACGAAAAAATGAAAGAAGCCATAAGAGAAAAAGAAAGAATGAAAGAAAGAACGAAAAGTAAAAGAAAACATAAGAGAAAAAGAAAGAAAAAAGAAAGAACGAAAAGTAAAAAGAAAGAAAAAGAAAGAATAAAAGAAAGAACGAAAAGTAAAAGAAGCTATAAGAGAAAAAAAGAAAGAATGAAAGAAAGAACGAAAAAAATAAAAAAGAAGCCATAGAGAGAAAAAGAAAGAATGAAAAGAAAGAACGAAAAAGTAAAAGAAATAAGAGAAAAAAGAAAGAAATGAAAGAAAGAACGAAAAAGAAAAGAAGCTATAAGAAAAAAGAAAGAATAAAGAAAGAACGAAAAAGTAAAAGAAGCCATAAGAGAAAAAAGAAAGAATGAAAGAAAGAACGAAAAGTAAAAGAAGCCAAGAGAGAAAAAGAAAGAAAAAGAAAGAAACGAAAAAGTAAAGAAGAAAAATGAAAGAAAAAACGAAAAAGTAAAAAAGAAAGAACGAAAAGTAAGAGAAAAAGAAAGAATGAAAAGAAAGAACGAAAAAGTAAAAGAAGCTATAAGAGAAAAAAGAAAGAAATGAAAGAAAGAACGAAAAGTAAAAGAAAACATAAGAGAAAAAAAAAGAATGAAAGAAAAAACGAAAAGTAAAAAGAAGCCAAGAGAAAAGAAAGAATGAAAGAAAGAAATGAAAAAGAAAAGAAGCCAAAAAAAAAAAAAGAAAAAGAAAGAACGAAAAGTAAAAGAAAAAAAAAAAAAAAGAAAGAATGAAAGAAAGAACGAAAAGTAAAAAAGCAGAGAAAAAAAAAAGAAAGAAAAGAAAGAAACGAAAAAAAAAGAAGAAAGAAAAAAAAAGAAAGAAAAGAAAAAAAGAACGAAAAGAAAAAGAAAAGAAAGAAAGAAAAAAAGAAAAGAATAAAAGAAAGAACGAAAAAGTAAAAAGAAGCCATAAGAAAAAAAGAAAGAATAAAAGAAAGAACGAAAAAGTAAAAGAAGCCATAAGAGAAAAAGAAAGAATGAAAGAAAGAACGAAAAAGTAAAAGAAGCCATGAGAGAAAAAGAAAGAATAAAAGAAAGAACGAAAAAGTAAAAGAAGCCATAAGAGAAAAAGAAAGAATGAAAGAAAGAACGAAAAGTAAAAAGAAGCTATAAGAGAAAAAAGAAATGAAAGAAAGAACGAAAAAGTAAAAGAAGCCATGAGAGAAAAAGAAAGAATAAAAGAAAGAACGAAAAAGTAAAAGAAGCCATAAGAGAAAAAGAAAGAATGAAAGAAAGAACGAAAAAGTAAAAGAAGCCATAAGAGAAAAAGAAAGAATGAAAGAAAGAACGAAAAAGTAAAAGAAGCCAGAGAGAGAAAAAAAGAAAGAAAGAAAAGAAAGAAAAAAAAGTAAAAGAAATAAGAAAAAGAAAGAATGAAAGAAAGAAAAAAAAGTAAAAGAAGCCATAAGAGAAAAAGAAAGAATGAAAGAAAGAACGAAAAAGTAAAAGAAGCCATGAGAGAAAAAGAAAGAATGAAAAGAAAGAACGAAAAAGTAAAAGAAGCCATAAGAGAAAAAGAAAGAATGAAAGAAAGAACGAAAAAGTAAAAGAAGCCATAAGAGAAAAAGAAAGAATAAAAGAAAGAACGAAAAAGTAAAAGAAGCCATATAAAAAGAAAAGAAAAGAAAGAAAGAAAGAAAGTAAAAGAAGCGAAAAAAAAGAAAGAATAAAAGAAAGAACGAAAAGTAAAAGAAGCTAAGAGAAAAAAGAAAGAATAAAAGAAAGAACGAAAAGTAAAAGAAGCCATAAGAGAAAAAGAAAGAATAAAAGAAAGAAAAGAAAAGAAGTAAAAAAAAAGAAAGAATGAAAGAAAGAAAAAAAGAAAAGAATAAGAGAAAAGAAAGAATAAAAGAAAGAACGAAAAAAAAAGAAGCCAAAAGAAAAAAAAGCCAATAAAGAGAAAAAAATGAAAGAATAAAACAAAAAGAACGAAAAAAAAGAAGCCAAAAAGAAGAAAGAATTAAAACAGAACGAAAAAAAATAAAAAGAAAGAGAATAAGAAAGAATAATTAACGAAAGAATGAAATAAAGGAGGAAAGAAAGAAGGATAGAAAAATCAAGGATCTAATGTAAAACGTCATACGTTAATGCTGCTAGGCTTATATTCTAACTTCTGGGGCTGGGCAATCAAAAATATAGGTCATCATCTATCAGGTCCCAATGAGGTTCATCGAACGACTTAATTAACTTAAGTATGCAATCCAGGAGGTCTCTTCCAAGTATTTCGGCTTAGATTTTTCCCTACAAAACACATTAATATAATTAGCCTTACGAAACAAAACCTGCTCTGTTACAATCTATATAATACGTTGCCGATTTAATACGTAAACACCCGTGTTTGGATTTCTGAAATAAGATCCCCCCCACCCCGGGCAAAGCTCATTTTACTCTCTCTCTCACTTTGATGCCAACATTATAAACTTCGTGTGATGTTCTTCAGTGGTACCAGAGTTTTCCAACTGTGATTATAAATGACTTATTCGCTTCAGCTATATAAGTTCGGATTTCGTGTCGCCATTAACATCAATTAAAGGCCGTGTGGGCAAAGTTACTTATCAACCTTCAACAAATATGTATAATCACGCGTCATTACGGCGATAAGGATTATGGGAGCCTTAACTTCCTGTTTGACTTCTTCGGTGGCCGACGGGAAAGTTACAAAAATCTCTGTAAAGATTGAACCGGAAATGGTCACGTGATTTGGTCGATAAGACGCATGAATTTTGCGAACTGCCAAACAAAAGTGGTTAAAAGGAGGATGTAGGACTCGGATTTTATTGTAAGTATTTTTTTTTTTAATCAGTACGTCTGTTTAGAAGGTAAACAATCGCGACTCTCCACAGATTTCTTTTCCTTTATTACCTGTAAATTTCTATGATGTCTTGTGGAATATTTTAGAGCGGTTTCCTGTTGCTTTTCCACAGTCATGAGATCATAGTAGTCCTTCTCCTAGACTGGCTGCCAACCGAGTCTTAGGATCCCCGTCTACTTTTTTATTTAATCCAAATCTAAGTCACGGAGTAGAAGCAACGGATTCATGTTTTTACCAAGGATATTTGGGCACAAATTGAATGTAACAGACGAGGAATGGATTTGAACTCGACCCGCTAACTTCTTTTCCATGCAGATAAATCTCACGCTAACCTCACATCTGTTTGTAGATGTATAAAGCAGGAAATAGTAGTAATAATAATAATAATCGGTTCCCTGATTCTATACCAATTATGGCTCTCGTGGCTTCTCATCTTAATTGATTGGCTGTTTTGATATACCGAGTGTAACAGCAAAATTGTCCAGATCATTTAACATTATGGGATAATTGTCCCTCCTTCAAAATGTTTAATATCTAAAAAACACGAAACTAATTGAGTTTTTTTTTCTCAGCTTTTCACATGAGACGTTTAGCCTTCTTGACACCATTTGTCATAAGAATCACAGAAAAAAAAACCTTCAAGTTATTCAGTTAGAAAGAGACCAGGTTAAAATAGTTTTGTGTCAGCCCCATTATGTCTTCAATGGTGAGATGTAAAAGATCATTCAAGCCTTCAGTCATGGTACCAACATCCATAATCTGGCTTCTATCTTCCAAGTCTATTCAAGAACCATCAAGAGAACGATGAATAAGTTTTAAAAAGCGGGAACAATAGAGAGGAAAACTGGATCAGGAGATCACAACAGCAAAAGGGATCATCATTTAAACAGAGCTAAATACATTCTTATTGCTCAAAGTAGAGTTCAATAGTGTTATAAAAACCTTGGAGAATTCCAGTAAGATATCTTTAATCATTTCTAAGATACAATGGTTCAAAGCTTAATCTAACAATTGGACAGTTTTGCTGTTACACGATTTGGACAATTTTGGTGTTACACTCGGTATACCTGTTTTGTCTTTAGTCAGGTGCTATACATGATACATGCTTGGGCGATCATGACTAAGTAGAAGATATTCTCGCAGTAGGCTGCCGTTTCTTTCTGCGGTAGACTGGTTGAAAGCCAAAGAAATAGGACCCTGTCTGTTCTGCTATTCAACCCATAGCTGGGAGTGGGGAGATAAGATTTATATATTTCCAAAGGATTTTGACGTGTTAGTGAATGTCACGAACACGACTGGAATTCGAACTCGGATTTCCCAATTCCGAGCCGTTATCCATTACATCAGATCGCCTACCCTTTTTGTCTCAATGAATTAAAATGAGTTAGTGTAAATATACCATTCATTGCAACACACCAGGGGGCACTTCGACGTGATGTAATTGTTAGCAATCTTGTTTCGCTAAAACAGATACGACTGAATAGTGAGTTCGATCCTCACTAGGTGCCACATACTTTCGGCATTGTATCACATCTAAGCTGTGTTTAGAAAATCGTTTCGGACACTTCGAAGTGGTATAATGGTCAGAAAGCTTGTCTCGTTAGACCAATTACAACTGTATAGTGAATTCGATCCTCACTAGGTGCGCCATACTTTCGGCCTTGTGCTACAGCTAAGCTACGGTTAGAAATAATTTTGGACACTTCGACGTGGTGCAATTGTTAGCAAGCTTATCCTCGCTTGACCAATTACGACTAAATAGTGAGTTCGATCCTCACTGAGAGCCCCATACTTTCGGCCTTGAGCCACATCTAAGCTAAGTTTAGAAAATCACCATTGTCATCGATCTGCTTGTCAAATGTCTGACCTTAAGCGCAGTTTTTGTCGCACTGTGCACATCTGCTTATAAGCAGGGACAGTTGGGAAGCATGGCCGAGCATCGAGAGGTTTGCTTAGTTTTTATTATTGTAGATATGAAGGAGAAAGTAAATAAGGTCATTTAGGATTCACAACTAGATACTTGGGAAGACCTTCATCTGGGAGGATTTAGTTTCCCTACCCAAAAGTATATCTAACTGAGCCCCCCACCTGGAACGTTATACACTGCTTTTAACAAACCTGTCACGCCCATATGGTTGCCGTTCAACAGCAGGTTTATTGAAAGCCAAAAGAAGGAAGCTATCAAAAACGAATAAATAACTTGAGACTAGTTTAGTCGGAATTAGAAGATATTAAAGAAGATAATAAATATCAGATCCGGCGTTATGATGGATACATTGGCTTTGTGTATTTGTTACCCAGCACCCATTTGTTGGGTTGCTGTTCTTTCACGCAATAATAATAGTAGAGTGATATTTTTTTTCATCGTTTCCCCCTAATCAAGCCAACCAGGGGTTACAAGGAGTGAAAGAGAATTAAAAGACTTAAAGTAAGTAGGATTGAGGAAAGAACAATAAAGAAACAGGACTCAAGAACACAGAAGATGGCGAGGTAACTAGAATTAGGCAACATAGAATTACCTAGGGTTCTTAGGATTTCTAAACCAACCATTTAAACTAAGCAAGACGGAAAGATATGTTTGTTCCGCTTATGATAAATAGCACACTTGGAATAATACGAAACCCATTCGAGACAGGATTGGAAAAGTGGAGATTCGAGAAGAAGATGGAACTTATTTAAGCATAGATGTAGCACAAATCACAATCATAGGAGTTAGAGCGAGGACTGAACTTACAATTCAGCACTAATGATCTGGGTGGATTTGGTTACCAGATCTGAAGGTATATCCAACTGGGCCCCACTTGCAAAAACTGTCTTCATATCGCAATCCTATGTCTGTGATGCGTCTCCTTATCGGACTGGTTGTTAAGATTGGCATCGTATATTTTCCAACCAGTATCACTTTGTTGGCATGCTGTTCTTTCATTCAACAACAACAACAACAACAATAGCAATAATAATAATAATAATAATAATAATAATAATAATAATAATAATAAGTACATATACTAATATATTGTGTCAGCCCAAAATGCAGATTCTGTGATAAATATCCAGAAACGATTGATCATCTTGTATCAGGTTGTACGGTGTTGGAACCCACTGAATATAAAACCCGACATGACAGAGTGGGCCAATATCTGCACTGGAAAATCTGCAACTTCTACAGGAAGGAAACTGAAAGAAACTGGTATGAACACCACCCAGACCCGGTTACGGAGATAGGGACCTGTTACAATTCTATGACTACACAATACACACTGACAGAACAATCAAAGCCAACCGGCCAGATATTGTTATTAAAGACCACAAACAAAAAAGGTGCCTCCTTATTGATATGGCAGTCCCTGCTGACTGCAATGTATCTTTGAAGATATTCAAAAAGTTGTCAAAGTACAAGGACCTTGAAATAGAAATCTCGAAAATGTGGCATATGGGAACATCAACAATCCCTGTTGTAGTTGGAGCCCTAGGACTGGTTGGAAAAGATTGCAGTAGACTAATTGAAGGGATTCCTGGAAGTCCATGCCTCAAGGAGATACAAAAAAATTGTTCTGACAAGTACAGCCCACACCTTACGAAGGGCTTTATCTATGTAATTTATTTATTTTATTTTTTTTTTTTTTTTGTCTGTGGAAAGTGTCATGACGCCATTTCTAACCTTAGATCCCTGGGCGGGACCCGGAAAGAAATGTGTAAACGCCAGAAATCAAAGAAAATAATAATAATAATAATGAAAAAGAGCAGGGAAAGCGATATATTATGTAATTATTTAAATTATTTATTATATTATGGAATTATGTAAGTAACATGAGCTCAACCATTTAAACAAATGGTATGGCCACAAGCATAGACTTGAGATTCCTAGACTAGCAATTCAAAC